GTGTGTGTGTGAGAGAGAGAGAGAGAGAGAGAGAGAGAGAGAGAGAGAGAGACCAATGTAACTCTACTTACAAGGCTAAATTTTTGGAATAACATCAAATTATGGCAGGATTTTATGGTGCAGACCAAAAAAAAAAATCACTAAAGTTTCAGTAAAGTTACCTTTCGATCATAATTCAATGTAAATAATGTGCATTAAATATACCCATAGCCATTTTTCAAGAAAAATTAGAATATATGGCTTAGAGCCCGGGAGAAACGTCAGATACAAAAATATAGCACAAGGAGATAAATCTCATCAAATCTTTAGGAAAAAAAGCAATATATTCAAGTTAATGTATGATTTTTTTGCTAGCTATTAAGTCTTAGGTTGCTTCTGCTCTTTTCTACCTACCTTGGTATTTTCCCATCTGCGAGGATGGTGACTCCTCCTAAGGGAAGAGTCCCAGGAGACAGCTCCTCTGGGATAGTATGCTGGAGCACCACCCACAGCACAGCACAGCCCAGCCCAGGAAGAAAGTGAATGACAGTTGGGTGAAGCCTGGTTCTTCCCTGAGGGCAATACTGCCTCACCATCCCGCAAGTCAAGCTCATGGACTCTCGCCTAACATGCAAGGGTGTGGAAAGGTGAGGAGGAGGGTCTGACCCTTGATACTGACTCCAGACCCCCACATGCTCCCCATCTTGTCAAAACATCCCCTTTTTAGAGGTGCATGTCTCCTTGTCTTTGTCTTGACTGTGGAAGACCACCCCCAACTCATGGAGATAGGTCCTAGATGGGTCTCCCAAAGACACACCTTGGACCTGGCCACCATCCTGAAATCCTCATCTCTAGCTGCCACTGTCCACCTAAGCCCAGCTCTGCATGCTGACTTTAAGTCCCATCACGGCCACATTTATACCTCACGGAACTTTCACTCCTCTACTTTCTTATTCAGCTTCTTCCTCTTTGGGTGATGATTTCAACTGCCCTTCTAAATCCTCCGTACCCTACCCTTTGGGCACACCACCCAGCAGAAAACCAACCCAGTCTGAATCTAATCATCCGCCCCTCTAAACTGATCAGCCGCACCAGAGCGCATAGACCCCATGGTCCCCAGCGCGTCCCAGGCCCCACACTGCCTCCTGCTCTCTCCCTCCACTCCACAATGACAATTTCCAACTTTCCCCATGGTCCTCAGAACTTCAGCGTCCCCTTGACCCCTCTCAACAGAAAAAAAAAAAAAAAAAGAAACAATATATTTTTTAACCAGCAGATAGGGGCTCCCTTGAGACTCACCAACCCACATCCTCTCATTGACAGTGGCGATGTCTCTCTTGTCCACGGATCTCTCCTTTTCATTCAGGTCTATCTCATCAGAATTTAAACACCCTTCATCATCTCCCACAACAATGCCTTTTGCAGTTACCACCTCATTCTCACTCCTCCTTCAGCACCCAACCTCTTTACACAATTGTCCCTTCTGAAGTACAAGGAGATAAACCAGAGGGTTGCTAAGATTTGTGAGTGGGGAGATGGTGGGGTGGGATGGGGATAAAGTTGTGTTGTGATGGGTCTTGGAGGAGTTCACCACTTTTATAGTATTGCCATGCTTTGCTTAAACACGGGGACATGTCCCGAGTAATACAGCATTTCACAAGTTCCTTGTGGCAACACCAGAGTGCACTCACCCAAGTCTAGATGGTACCACCTACTGCACACCTGGCCGTGTGGTATATACACATGGAATAGCCTATTGCTCCAAGGGCCATGATGAGCAAAACACCATGAGTGTCAATCAAGCACAAGAGAAAATGGTGCATTCAAGAGACATGGTAAGGGGCTAAGGATGTGGCTCAATGTAAGGAGTGCTTGCCTAGTATGCATGAGGCCCTGGGTCTGATTCCCAGCATGGAGTGTGGGGGGGAAACAGTAAACATGAAACATCTGAGGCTGCTGCCTATGCAACACAGCACACTGTTTAACAGTCAACTTTGTTTTTTATATATAATGAGTGCACTTTAAAATAACAATAAAAATAATATAGTAAATACATCAACCAGTAATGTAGTTGTTTATTGTCAAGTATTTTGTATATAACTAAACGTGCTATACAGTCATATGATTGGCAATAAGTTTGTTTCCATCTGCACCACCACAAACATGAGTGTGTGGCATGCCATCCCACTGTAACAACCACAACATCACCAGGCGGTAGGGATTTTCCAGATCCACTACAATCTACTACCACTTTCATATCTGTAGTCCACTGTTACCTAAACAACAGGCAGGACATGTAGTCAAGCAGGACATGGCTGAACAGATACAGGTAAAATAGTGGCCCCCCATAAATGAGAAATACATTGCTTTCCATGACAAAGGAAAATTTAGATGGTATTAATGTGCTAATCATCCGACCTTAAAAAGGTAGAATGCCCAGGACCATCCAGGTGGGCTCAGTGTGATCACAACTGTCCTTCAAGGTGGGAAGCCGAGCAGAACAGATCAGTGATATAAAGTGTGAGGGCTCAATTTACCTTGGTGAGCTTTGGAGATGGAGGAAGGGCCAGAGACAAGGAAGGCAGACAGCTCCTAGAAGAGGTGAGAAAAACAGTCTCCACTAGAGCCTCCAGGGAGAGTGCCGCCCTGCACCCCCTTACTCTAGCCCAGTGAGATCCATTTTGGATTTCTGATCTCCAGAACTATAAGATAGTACATGTGTACTGTTTAACCACTAAGATCAAGTAATTGGCTACAGTAGCATAGGGAATTAATATGGCAAGTTTGAGTTTTAAAATCTTCTGTAAGACTTGTCTCTATGTCCTCACCTTCAGCTTTCCCTCCAAAGACCCCCTTCTCAATTCTACCCCCGCTTCATCCCTGATGAGCTCCAAAGGTTGCAGATACCAATAGGGCACTTAAATGGCTGGCTCCACCCTGGGACAGTCTGAGGCCCTCCTTCCTTTTGTGCCTCTCTCTCCAGGGCCCAGGCAGTAATCGCATACATGGATTCAAACAGCAACTGCACACCACCATTTCCAACTCTCTCTGCATCCTGGAAACTTCATGTCTGAGCTCCAGAATGGACAAATACAGGCCTTCCCATGTGCCCATAAGGCCTCAACATCCTTCTACCCAACCTGGATTTCTCCTCCTTCTGGTGTTTTCCCACCTAGTAAATGACAGCACTTTCCTCCTCTTGGCTCGTGCCAGAAACCACAGGATCACACTGGGCATAGCTTGCTGCACTCTACCCCCCCCTTCATAGTGCCCCGTGGTTCAATCTTCACCAGCTGGACCAAGCTGCCAGGTTCTCTCATCTGAATTACAACCCCTCCTACAAAGCCTCCAATCTCCACCTTATTCAACTCTAACCCCTCTATCAAAACTGTGGCAAAAGTGCTCTTTTTAAATGCACATCTGCTTTGGAGTCCTCCAGCAACTTACACTGCACTCACCAACCTCATCTTGCCACTCATTCTCTGGTACACTTAGGGGGATTTGTATGTTTGTTCTTGTCCCCCGCACCCACACTGGGAATTGAACTCAGGCATGCTCTACCACTGAGCTATATCTCCAGCTCTATTTTTAGTTCTTATTTTGAGATGGTGTCTCGCCAAGTTACCGGGGCTAGGCTTGAACTTGCCATCCTCCTGCCTCTGACTCCAAGGGATCACAGGCATGAGCCATCACACCCCCCCATATCCACTATCTAGTCCAGTGGCTGCCTTTCAGTTCCTGGATACCTCTAGTTCCTTCCCACATATCACTTAAGTACCCTTCCACTGCCTGATCCCTACCTCCTGCAAAATCCTACCATTCTGGTTTAAAGACCAGCTCCTCGGGGAATTCTTCCCAGTCCACCCCTACATTGTCAGTCCCTCTGATGCAATCAGAGAAATGATGCTTTCCTCAGACATCCACATCCCATCCCCAGGCCCTAGGACAATCCTGCCTTATGTGGCAAGAGGGACTTTACAGATATGATTAAGGATCTTGAGATGGAAATGTTACCCTGGATTTTCCAGTTGGACCCAGCATGAACCCAAGTACCCTCGTAGGAAGGAGGCAGGAGGAGATGAGGAGTCAGTGAGGAGAGGTAACTGTGGAACAAGAGGTCAGACAGAGACTGAAGATGTTACACTGCTGGCCTCAGAGATGGAAGAAGAGGCCATGAGCCAAGGAATGCAAGCGGCCAGTCAAAAACGGCAAAGAGAAGGAAGCAGATTCTCCCTAGAGCCATCCTAGGAAGATGCATAACCCAGCCACGTCTGATTTTACAACTTCTGACCTCCAGAAGTCTAAGATAACCAAGTTGTGTCTTTTTAAGCTACTAAGTTTATGTAATTAATAGAAAATTAATCACCTCCTCCCCAACCTCTACTCACTCTTCACAGCATCCTATGTGACTACCTTACACATTCCAGTTGTTATTTGTATAATTATTAACATCTGCCCTGTCCCCTAAGCTATACCTCAAAGAAGCAAAGACCGTCTCTAACCTGCCCAATACTGCATTCCCAGCGGCAAGCACATAGTAGGTCCACAATAAGAGCAGATGAGCTGTTGGATGAACACATCAGTGGGGATGGTTGAGGCTAAGCAGTTACCATGAGCATGACAACTTAGACATAGGTGTGTGTGCTCTCCCTCTGCACCATTCCATGAGGCATCAGTGGTATCCTCTATCACTTCTCCATTCTCCCTTCCCTTTCCAGGAATTGGTTTCCAGGATACAGAATATGACTGATACTGACATTTGGAATCAAACTCTTGCCTTACTTGCTAGTATTTTTCTTTGGTAAATTAAATCTTTTTACATTTTTAACATATTCAGAAGTTAAATGTGAATGTCTTCATGATACGATGACTGGATGGGGAATGTCTCAAGAGATGATGATGGTGGTCAGTGCTTAAGGAGTAATTAGGCAGTCAGTATCCATTAGTTTTAACTGACCATGGCCCCTTCCTTTTGAGCTTTCCCGCCATCTTGACGGCTGCTCTTGGTTGGGGGCAGGAAGATGGTGGCCGCAAAAAAGACTCTGGAGTCCATCAACTCTTGGCTCCAGCTTGTTATGAAAAGTGGAAAGTATGTACTGGGGTATAAGCAAACTCTGAAGATGATCAGACAGGGCAAAGCGAAATTGGTTATCCTCACCAACAACGTCCAGCTTTGAGGTAATCTGAAATAGAGTACTATGCCATGTTGGCCAAAACTAGTGTCCATCACTACAGTGGCAATAATATTGAATTGGGCACAGCATGTGGAAAATACTACAGAGAGTGCACACTGTCTATCATTGATCCAGGTGATTCTGATATCATTAGAAGCATGCCAGAACAGACTGGTGAAAAGTAAAATATGTAAAATTTTTCTTTAATAAAACTTGTCAGAGCGTGTTTTAAAAACACTGCATTCATTTTGGTTAAAAAAATAAATACATAAATGACCATGTCCTTCTACTCTTCAATTCTACTTCTATTTATTCTGCATATACACTCAGAGAGGTGGGAAGAGACACAGACTGTAACAAAGACCCAAATAATGTACGGGTGGCTTCAGTGAGACAGGTATCTGTCTCTTTCATGCAAATGTTTAAGAGAATGTGGTGCCGGGGACCTGGGTTCCTCTTATCTTGTTGCTCTGACATCCTCCGGAGTCAGCTTCTAGCTTTGGAACCAAGAAGGCTGCTCCAGCTCCTACCACCAGACGACCTCTTCCAGGAGGGAGCAGACCTCTCCTTCCCTTTCAAGGATGCTCCTGGGCACTGCACACATCACCTTTGCTCACACCTCGCTGGCCAGAATCTAATCTAGTGGCATGGCCGCACCTAGGGCAAGGGAACCTGGCAAAGGTGGTCTGTACTTAAGACCTATGACCAGTTAAAATGTCTATTACCCCAAGCTGGGGTCGTGCTCGGTGGTAGAGTGCTTGCCTAGCATGTGTGAGGCCCTGGCTTGGATTCTCAGCACCACATATAAATAAATGAACAAAATGAAGGCCCACCAATGTCTAAAAAAAATTTTTTTTAAATCTCTGTTATACTAGAAATGAAAAATGGATGTTGAGGGGACGATCAGCAGTCAACATGTCAGACCGTCCTTGTAGAAAGGTCTGTAACAGAAAAAATGAGAAGTAACTTGAACTGGTTAAATAATCATAGTAATTCATGTGATGGAATCCCATGTAGGTATTTTGAAAAGTTAAGTGGCTCTCTATGTACTGCTGTGAAAATTTGTCCAAGATGCAGTGATGACCATGGTATACAGTAACAATGTACATAGGACAATCCTGGAAATGTCATTCATTCAATCAGCAGTGCTCTGAGCCCACTTTGTGCCAGTACTATTCTATAAGTGGAACACAGGTGAACACAACAGACCAGACCACTGTATTCAACACCTGCATCTAATGACAATTCCCCCAAAGAACACTTGAGAAACTCTTCATTTTGTTTGTGATTCTTTTTGTGTGTGAGAGGTATTTTTTTGTTTTCGTGTTTTGGAGACAGGGTCTTCCTATTGCCCAGGCTGCCTTAAAACTCCTGATCTCAAGTGATCCTCCTCCCTCAGCCTCCTGAGCAGATGGGACTACAGCTGGGACTACACCTGAGACAGGACTACCAATGGCCTTCAGAGTCAGAGAGTGAGGCAGGGAGATGAGCAGGTCACAAAGGGGCTTTCCTTTTTATCATCTCAATGTTTTATACTTTTTACTGTGAGCATGTGTTATTTTTGTACCGATTATCTTTTTAATTTAGTAAACCAGTGTCCTGTAGACCAGTTACCTAAGGCTCACAGCCCGTGTCTAGGGTTGCATTTGCTCTTGGGTTTCTTGCTGGTATTTATTTGCCTTTGACTTCACTCACCTCACGGCTCTTTGGAGTTAGTTTCCTGGCTCACGGCTCAAGTTGCTGATATCCAGCCTGCCTGTTCCAAAGGGCAGCAGAGGGAATCAGGCGAAACTGGGAATATCATCCCACTACACAAACTGCACAGTGCGTTAGGAACCCAGAAGCTGCATCCTATTGCCGCTCCTAGCACAATGGCACCGAAGGGCAATGGGAGGCCCTGAAAAGTGATTGTTCTGTGATCAGATGTTGAACAAAGAACAGACCTGTGGGGGTAAATCATAGGGTCTGGGATTACAAGAAGCAAAATTTGTATTTCCATCAGTTTTAAAAAAAAAAAAAAAGTGGTAACCTTTGAAAAACAATTGCAGCCAACTTTATTAAAAATAGAATCTGAGCTGGGACAAGTTCCAACAAGACGACTATAATGTTAGCTTTTCAAAGCACCTCTTAAAGCGATTCTGTGTGCCAAGGGTGCTACGAACACACAAAAGAAACAACAACAAAGACCCAGGAAGGATGAGTCACAATGCACCCAGTGGGGACTCAAAGCAATTTCTTCGTAAAACAATTTTTAAAAGCAACTTATAAGGAAAACAAGTTAGAATTTTTTTCCTTGCGGGGCAAAATGAAGAAAGAGTCTTGCCCAGGAGAAGAAAATAATAGGAACAATGGCATGTCAAGGTCTGTAAAAACCAGAGAGATCACAGCCACAGCACAAGGGGGTCTACAATACAACAAAGAAGCACTAAGATCCCTGGAGATCAGCTAGTTCACCAAATGGAGGCCCAGACAGCTAACCTTTCCCACCCAAGATCTCCCTTAGGCACCTCCTGCATCTGCTTCTTAAGGCATTAAATCTCTTGGTCACATTTACATCAAGTAGAGAGGAGACCCAAGAAAGGCCAAAGACAACATGTAAAGATGACACCTATGTACAGAGAACAAGTCATTAGTTACACAGCAGGAATCAAACAGATGACATGAATGGTGAAGGCAAACCACGTTTTTAGGTCTATGTTCAAAAAACATCAACTACATTTTCAAAGTACAACAATACATAAAGGACTAGTGCAAAAGGACATGTGTTCCTGGACTCGTCATGGCAAAAGTCTCTCTACAGCCTCATGGAGAATGTGAAGCACAAAGGAAGCGATGCAGGCCAAGGTATGGGGATGAGCAAGGAGCCACCTGCCGGGGCTCAAGGAAGGGAAGGAGGAAAGAGCCCTGGAGCCTCAGATGTAATTAATAACAACAGAGGACTCGTAAACAGCAGGTGCTGTGTCCCATCACTTTTCTAAGTAATTTCTGCATATTTTACTCATTTTAATCCTCACACCAATCCTCTGAGGTACATGCCATTATTGTCCCTATTTTAAAGGTAAGAACACAAAGGAGAGGGAAAATAGGCAACCTTATTCTGGCTTATGTAGCTAATAAATAGTGGAACCACGCTGGAACTCATACAGTCTGGCTGCAGAGTGTGCCCCCGACCACCACACAACACTGTCTGTCCCCGACCACCACACAACACTGTCTGTCAAGATGTCAAGTGTCTCCTTGCGACTACAAAACTATGAGAACTAAAGCTGGCAGTAGGTGAGACATTGTATCAGGAGGAGTTGGGTTGTTTTTTTTTATAATCATTTCAAAGGCTGTGAGTTTTTAATCAAGCAAACAAGAAAAGAAAGTAATGTTAAGTTTTAAGAGTCTTTTGCTAAGAAGCAAAAATAACTCTAAGGAGTAAGCCATTCTACATCTAGTAACGGAATTCAGAGCAGCCTTGATTACCTAACTTCTAAATTCTTGTATAGAAACAGACAATAATAAAATAAAAACAATGGGACAACAGAGAGAGGGAGAGGTTAGTAGGCAGAACAAAATATGTTACCATTTCGATATAGTTTACCTCTATCACTGGGATCACTGGGGGTCAGAGGGCAGAGAAGGAAAGAACTGGCATAAGTTATAAGAGGAAAAACATACTGTCTTCTTTTATCCAAAGGAAGCTGCAAAGTATCTGAAATGCCTTCAAAAGATACAAATACAGACTCTAATGCTGAGTCTCTTGGTTCAAACTCTCTAGGCCAGGGTCCCTGCCCCTCAGAGCAGTCCCCTGTGTGGAGGACTCTCCCTCTCCAGCTGTCTCTTTCTCACCGTGTGGCTTCAATGTCACTTCTTCCCTGACCCTTCCCTCCCACGGAATGTGGCCTGCCCCTTCACAGCACATATCACAACTGGTAACAGCATAATTGTTTGTGATTATTTAACATCTGTCTTCTCACTCAACCACAGATCTGCAAATGACAGCCCACAGGTCAGATGTGACCCGCTGTTTTTGGACATCAAGTGTCACTGGAACCCAGCCATGATCATTCATTTATCATTGTAACTGCTTTCACAATACAACAGGAGAGTGGCATGGTTGTGACAGAGGTGTCATGGCCCACGAAACACAAAATGTTCACTCTCCAGCCCTTTTGTAGACCAAGCTGGCCACCCCCACAGTAGACCATAGACGCTATGATCCTTACAGGGTCCTCACAGGCTATTTGGTCTGACTCAGTTGCCAGCGCCCTCCTAAGTGCCTTGAGTGCAGAAGAACTTGGTGAAGTTGCTGACTGAAAAAACTCGGGAAACAGGGAAGATAAGCAGTCATGATTCAGAGAACTTCACATCTATATATTCGTTTAATCCCACTAACCCAAGGCAGATTAACTCTTAATCTCCCCACTCTACACACGGAAAATGGACGGAAGCTGTGGAGCCGCCCACTCAGCCACTTCAGGCAGGGCTGGGATTCAAACACAGGTGGCCCAGATCCAGACTCTGAGCTCTCCACCACACGTCAGGAGAGAGGATGGTTTCATTCACAATTTTAGCCCTTCCTTAGCTGCAGGTGCAGAGCCCCGGGCAGAGAGCCAGGACTGGTTCTGAGCACTTAACCTTTGGCAGCTGGTGGCCACCTATTACCTAACCACTGGCACACCCCAGTGTAGTTATGGATGGCCGTCTTGCTGAGTTACCAGACAGATCACTTCAGAGTGTCCTACAGAGCAACCCTGAATAAAACCCATCCTGCCTGCCAGGTCACTTATGTGGACTCACCATCCCCACTTCCCAGGTGAGGGGAAGGAGGTCAACGGAGTTAAGTAATTTGCCAAGGTCAAGTGTTAGCATGAGACAGAGATTACTAGTCACTGCAACTCTACAACCCCAATTCCTGACTGAATGGCAATTCTTCTCCAGGCTTTAACAGGGGACCAGTTCCACAAGATGGTAAAGGGTATTTCATTCTGCACCATGACAACATGCATTTCCACCCTTTATGACACTGGATGGAGAAAAATGACTCAGGAAAAAAACCTCCACATGACTCGATTTGATAACTGTAACATGGAAGCTAAACATCTGCTAATGAAGAAGGCTGACCCAGGGATACTGACGACATAATGGTGCAACATCATTATAGCAAGAAATGGTGTGGACCTGCGACAGGCTCTGTCTA